GCATGGCGCTTGGCGGGGGGGCGGCGTGGCGCTCGGCTGGGGGGGGAGCGGCGCGGCCTGGCGCTCGGCGGGTGGCCTGGGGGGCGGCGCTTTTTTTTGCTGCTTGGGGCAGCAAAAAAGCTAGAGCCGGCCCTGATCCTGTCTCCCTTCTTCACAAATTAGCAAGATTCCTTGGAGCTGTCTTGATATCTTAGTCTAGCCACTCAAGACAACAAACAAACAAAAACCTCCCATGCTGAACAAAGGAATATAATTACAAAATGCTAGACAAGCAGACATGTAACTAGGGTGCTGTGACTGATCCACATGATCTTTTATGCAGTTGAAAAGGAAAATTGACCTCCAACCAGTTTCCTTGTAGCTATCACCAAATGACAGAATAAATTGATAATTCGCCCGTCTGGCCTACTACTTTGCTAAATTCCTCCTCTTGTTACAGTAAACCAGTCACATCACATCACGTTGTCACATTGTGAAGAGTGCACATAGTTAATTAAATTTTTTCCATATAGTACAGTGTATGGTACAAATGCTATTTGGCAATTTTTATGAAAACACAGAGATGAAGCCAGCTTTCATTTTCAGGTTTCATTTTACAACTTCTCTATCAATGTACCCAGGATTTTGAAATGCAGGCCAGATCAGAACTCTAGTTTGTCTCTGAGGGAGGGACATAACGGGATAGAACATAACGTAATTTTTTAAAAAATATATTTTTTATTAAAAAAAGGACAGCCATATGTTCTTAAGAGAAAAGGAAAATAAAAAGATCTAAGAAAAGTCACCTTCAAAATTTTTCCTAGCCTGTCTTTGAAAACTATAATCTTTAAATCCTTCCACTTTCCCATCAATCTTTGCTGAGTGGCTATGAAGACACTTTAAATGGTTCAGTTCATGCCAACTGTGTAATAACGGAGTGGAAAAATCTGTAGATTAATTTGCTCAGAATCAGAGCTTTTACTGGAAATTAAACTGACATAACAGCTGTCCTCTCTAAAGCCAGGGTAATACATATGGATATACTAAATTTAAACCAAGGGGTAGATCCTCAGCTGGTATAAATGTACACCAAATAGCACTATTTAAAGAGCAACACTTGCCCATGTGATTCAGCAATAATGTTTAATAAATGACAATCCATTTTTATACATATACATTTTTTATCATAAACTCTAATCTATAATGACCCAATGTCCATTTTACTGGCATGGCTGTCTGTTTTAGGTAAACTATGAAGACCAAGGGTGTGCTCGGACTCTGATGTGGACTCACAGCCAATCTGCTCAAGATTGTCCCATACTATGGTGTTATGTTTAGCACTTGTGAGTTCTGCAAGCAGGTCTGTCTCTACAGAAATGGTTATATTATAGTTCTTCACATTTGTTATAGACATGTCATATTTGCTTGCTGCCTCATGGAAAAAGGCTACAGAATCTCATGACAAGTAGTTTGTATGACATAGTGTAAGATTGATGAATTCTAATAAGATCAAGAAAATCTGAAGATGGATTGAACATCCTAGCATTACTTAGACCCTTCTGATAACACTTCTGAGGGTTTTACTTTTACATATGTTTCTGTCACTACGTGCATTGGAAGCACGTTGTTTCAGACTCTGATTTGCTGGCTTATGTTTCTTGCTCTTGGCATACGCTGATATGCTGATGTTCTATAAGTATTCCCATTGCCACTGATACCCGTGGTTGCCTGTCTTTGCTTTGCAATAAATGGGATATATATCCTTAGGTGGTTGTAAGTCTGTTTTTAAATTTTGAACCATTCTTTTCTTAAAAACCTCTTGTTGTGCCAGTATAATTTAAGTCCTGGTATTTGTGGTTTTTTATTTTCTCCATAGTTGCAAGCATTTTCAGTCCCACACGAAACTTTTGTTTTTCCAGAAGAACAGCTCTTGCTTCCCACACCAAGACTCTCAATTATTATTTTTACATGAAGCTTATGTTTGCCATCTCATTTTATGAGAGACTGGGTATGGAGACCTATACAATCCACATCAAATTAAGAGAAATATTTCTTGTCACTCATCCATCAAGGTTTCCCAATTACTCCGTTATGTTTACACTGTACTGTGCTGCACTGCTATGCTTTATGCCTATACAACTTAAAAATAGGGAGGAGGGGAATAGTTCTGGATTTACTGCATGTGGAAAATGAGGGAGTTATGTGTATTATTTTGCATAAATATCATATATATCTCAACTCACCCATTTGGTATTATTCTAACTGATTACACAGAGTTAAATCAAAGAAGGCTCAAAGTGGGAGAACAAAGAAGAAACAAAACAATGGCAAAGATAAGGTATAGTCCAGTCCAGAGAATACCAATGGTCCTCGAGGAAACAATGGAGAAATTATTAATTGATGAATGCTCCTACCAGGCTCTAAAGTTTATTTTTTCCAGACCTGAGCTTAAGATCAAAGAGCTTAAGATCAAATAATAATAGTATCCCGAAAGAAGCAGATTGAGAGGGTTGTCAGCAGCTTCTGAGGGAAAGATACTGGCAGAGACACACTGACAGAAAGGGCAGCAAGGAGACTGTCTCTCTCAACCCAGAGATGGAAGTGACCAGGCTGAATGGAATGTACCAAAGCTTGCAAGGAAAGAGTAAGGTTTAGATAAGGGAAAATATGCACATGGGACTTTTTTGTTTTATTCCTTTTGTTGTGTACTATATACCTTTGGGCAAATAAATTATGCTTTGTTTTGAGGAAGCTATTTTTGAATCACTTTAATCAGTCACTGTCAAAGGTTCCCAGAGGATACTGGTGCCAAACACAATTGAGCCTGTTGGGTTAACACAGTTGGGAAACAGGGGGTCTGTAGCCCAGAGATATAATCTAAGAGAGGTAGGATTGCAGGGTTCTACCTAGAAAGGGGTGAAGGTAGTAAAACCTGTCCCCCCAAGAGTGCACTGAAGAGAGACTAAACAGAAAATAAAGCATAGTTTTCTTTATAACAGTGACATTGCAAAATCTAGTTTGCTCTGTCAGGTAGCCAAATTGCTCAGTTTTCTATCAGAATTATGCATTCAATAAAGAGAAAA